GTATTCGACTCATTGTAACCATTTTTCAGAAGATTAATAAAACGAGATTTGAGCTGTGGTCCCGATAGTAGCCGAACTACAGCTGCTCTGATTCTTCGTACCAGACGAAGATATGTAGGCATAGGATGCGATATCCTAGCGAGCACACTAACGACTAACTTGTGTTCTCTCGCTGCTGTGCGATCGAGACTTTCCCGCTGACGACTAATCATAACCCTTTTTCTCTCTTGCCCGAGTGCATTTGAGACCAAGCCATAGTGTTGCCCATAGGTTCCCGACCCTGTGAAACCAGTTGTTTTTCTCACTGCTGTGTGAGAATGTTTTGTTTAGCCGTAGTTAGTCTGAACTACGTAAAGCTCTGATCTTCCACGCGGTGGAAGTACGTAGGCACAAGACGCGAGGTCTTGGCGAGCCAATTTTCCCTGTAGTCCCGAACTACGTTGACTCTGACTTTCTCTCTTGAGAATACGTAGGCATAGAGTGTGACGCTCTATCGAGTCAATTCCCTTCTGTTTAGATTTAGCAGCCATAGATAGATTGTTTTGCATCCAGTAGACAACCCAAGCAAGTGTGGATCCCGTCGAGTACGACGGACGTGAGGGGTGCTAATACCTTCCCCTTGCGTAACCGACTCCCGAACCCAGGTTTTGGTTGCGATGACCATACCTTTTCCCCATTTTTTGCGAGGTTTACTTAGAGCGTTTCCTTTCCCGCTCTGAGGGATAAATAACGCACGGTGGCGACTCTTCTGTCAGCCGGCGCCGATTTTCGCAGTAGCGACAGTCACCATTGGTCTCCATCTGGTGGGCAGACTTCTGATGATTTTCTTTACGTGATCTGATGTAGAGTACCCCTTGTCCAGAACTTTCAGCCCAGCAGTGAGTATCTGAAATCTGGAGAACACGGCTTTAACAGATTCAGAGTCTTCCATTTTGAAGGCCTCATACTTCTGGATCAGAGCCAGAGCTTTTGTCTCCTTAACTTGAGAATTTCCCTCATGAGTCATTTTTAGGGATTCAAACATATAAAAACCAATTTCCCTGTTTGTAATTTTCTCATACTCTGTATGTGAAATTGCATTCAATAATATAGTCCTGGCTTTGTGGTGATTTCTGAAATCTTTCTTCTGAGCATCTGTCATAGATTTTCTGTCAATCTTCTTGCCATTCCCATCTGTGGGATGGACATATCCATCTATGACTAGATCCCATAGATCAGCATCATATCCTAGGAAAAAACTCTCAATTCTGTCTTTCCAGTAGTCAAATTTCTCCCCATCAAACATTGGGGGTTTGGTGCTGATCCTATCCCTTTCTTCATATTTATTGTTAATATTGGATGTTGAATTATCAGCCATTGTAACAAATAAATATATATCAAAGTATTTCTCTCTGGATCTTTACTGACACTGTTAAGTGGTAGCACACTCAGAACCGGAGCTCTGATGCCAACTGAAGGTGAGATAATACTTAGAAGGGGGGTTGAATAAGTATGAAAGATTAAGACTTAAAAAATAATCACACAATTATTTTTATCCTGGTTCGTTTAAACAACTACTCCAGTCCACCCTTCCTAGAGTGATTTGCCTTTCTCAACAAGGACTTAATCCACTATTAAATCAAACTGATTACAATAGTAACACCTAAGAACAACTGTTCTTAGTCTTCTCAAGAGCTACTGATTCCAACTGAATCCTCTTAAGGAAATCCTTTACAATCAATGTAAATTAAATACAAGAGTATTAATGCTTCTATAAAGCTTTTATCACAACAGTGATTTTTCTCTTAAGTTTAAGTACAAGAAATTCTAAGAAGAATATGAAAGAATGAGAGCTTAGAATAATATGATTTATTTTCAGCAAATTGTGTAACTGAAGAATGTGGTGGAGTTCTCCTTTTATAGGCAGCTGATCCAAGGATGCTGAGCGTTGAAAAGAGAGTCCCAAATGGTCTGAGCCTTTTTGTCTTCACATCAAGTGACCTTTCCTTGAAGTAGATAACATAGAAAAATCCTTTTTGTCTGTGTAATTGTGTCTAGCAAAAAATAGGAAAGAGACATTGATTTACTCCAACAGATATATTCTTGAATATTTCTTCTTCAGTTTTCAGCAAGTTCTTCAGAGTCTGAATGGATCAGAGTCTTCTAATGATATTCAGAACTTTGCTGTATCAGAGTCTTCTGCAGCATGTGTGCTTTCAGCGTGTTGATCATCAGAGCATATTTGACACAGAACTTCAGTACTTGGCAGCATTAGTACTTTCAGAAACTTCTGTAGAATTATGCTTTGAGAAACTCTTCAAACAATATTCTTCTTTGCTTCAGATGCTTCAGCTTCAGATGCTTCTGACTAGCTTCAGATGCTTCTGACTCAGAATGTTCTAGAGCTTCTTGCTACAGATCCTTCTGGAGACTACGCTCAGGATCTTCTGTAAAGGGCAATCAGAATCTTCTGTAAGATGCATCTGGCGCTTCAGAGTCAGGATAACTTCTTGTATACAATACAGATTTGCTTCTAGAGAGTTAATTTCATTTCAATCTGCATTAAAACTCTCAAACAAATTTTAGAGTATATAATTCTTAAATATAAAATTTCCTAACAGTTATCATCAAAACAAAGAGTTATTATTAAGAACCAATCTGTGTTCTAACACAAGCCAGATGCGAGAATCTGAAATCTAGAGAACATAGTTTCTACAGATTCAGACTCCTTCATTTTGAAGGCCTCGTACTTCTGGATGAGGGCCAGAGCCTTGGTCTCCTTTACTTGTGAGTTTCCTTCATGAGTCATCTTCAAAGATTCAAACATATCAAATGCAGTATCTTTGTTTGTTATTTTCTCATACTCAGTATGAGATATTGCATTTAATAGGATGGTTCTTGCTTTGTGGTGGTTTCTAAACTCCTTCTTCGGTTGATCAGACATAGATTTTCTGTCAATCGTTTTCCCTTTATCATTGGTAGGATGAATGTAACCATCAGTTACTAAATCCCACAAATCAACATCATAACCTAGAAAGAAGCTTTCTATTCTGTCTTTCAGTAGTCAAACTTCTCACCATCAAACATGGGAGGTTTGGTGCTGATTCTATCTTTCTCATCGTATTTGTTGTTGTATGAAGTTGAAGTAGAAGCTTCAGCAGTCATGATGAATAAAGAACAAGATATTAGGAGTTTTTCTCAACTAGATATTTTATGTCACGATTAAGTGAGAGCACTTTCAGAACCGGAGCTCTGATGCCAACTGAAGGTGAGAAAAACACTTAGAAGGGGGGGTTGAATAAGGGTTTTGGAAAATTATGGCAATAAAAACAACACAATATTTTTATCCTGGTTCGTTGAACTCAACTAATCCAGTCCACCCTACCAAGGTGATTTGCCTTTTTCAACAAGGACTTAATCCACTATATTCAAACAAATTACAGTGTCAACCACTAAGAACAACTGTCTTAGTCTTCTCAAGAAATCCTGACCACAACTTGGTCTTCTTAAGGAACCTTTTACAAATAAATGTAAACTAACAAGTGTTTAAGATGCTTCTAAAAAGCTATATCACAACTGTGATTTTTACACTTAGATTAAGAACGAATAAAAACTATTCAGTTTATGAAATAAATTGTATGAGAGCTTGAGAGCAGTTTTCAATTTGATTTCACAATAATTCGTCAAGATGAATCGTTAACTTTGAAATTTTGTTGAAGACATCCTTTTATAGAGCAGAAAGTCCAATACTTAAAGACTGTACATAGCAGAATAGTTGTAGCCTTTTTGTCTTCTATTGACTTTAGCTTTCCCAGCAGAGGAATGTTCAGACAAATCCCTTTTGTCTGATTTCCTGTGTCATACACGAATAAAGAAAGAGTTGTTTGGAATATGCCAACGGATATATCTTTGAATAATATTTTCTTCAACAAGCTTTTGTCTTAAAGTTATAAACATCAGAGTCTTTATGTTATCAGAGTTTTGCAGCCAAAGTGCTTCAGCGTGAATATCAATCAGAGCAGAGTTTGAATAACAGAGCCTCTGTACTTGCAGTGAAAAGTACTTTCAGAGTCTTCTTGAAACAATGCTTGAAACTCTTCATACAAATTCTTCAACTACGCTTCAGAGTCTTCTGCAGTTTCTGCTTCAGAGTCTTCTGCAGCTTCTGCTTCAGAGTCTCTTCTGGCAGCGCTCAGAGTCTTCTGATGACTCGCTTCTGATGCTTCAGAGCTTGCGTAGAGTAATGTTCAGATGAATTTTTGCTTCCATAAGAATATTTATTTTAATATCTAAAACAAAAACACTAGAACAAAATTAGAGTATATATTTTCTTAATACAAAATTTCATTAGTGTTATCATCAAAACATAGAGATATATTAAACACCAATTTATGTTCTAACATGAATAATAGCAGAAATTCTATATGAACCCTTGTTAATATACTTGAATAAGTATTTAATCGAATTACTTTGGTTGCACCATTCCATGTTGATGTGTGCCTCGTACTTCAACAATAAACTTGGGTTGTGAGGAACTACATGTCCGCTGTGAAGAATGATTCCATTTTTATCGATTGTGTTTCCATTGTCTCTTCTCCTATAAAGTGGATAGCCATCTTGATCAACTATGGTTGTTGACTGAAATTTTTTTGGGTAATACTTTTAACATTTCCCATCTTTCATGCAAGGTGAACTTTGATTTGCCAATCCACAAGGGTCCATGAACCATATGAGTTTTAACCATGTTGTATAACTTTGGTTCCTTCGTAGGATCAGGGATTTCAGCACTTATAATCCTGTCAATATCTTCGGGTCTTGGATATTTGTTAGAAGGATACAAGAATATCAATATATGTGCATGTGGCAACCCTTTCTTTTGAAACTCAATGGTGTACATATCTACAAAAAAATAAATTAGTAAAAAGTAAATTGTAATATTGTGTAACAAATTGAAAAGTTACGGTGAGAAAAGAAAACATACATGCAAGCACCTTGCCTAACACTCCCCTTTTTGTCAAATCTTATAGAAGCTGATCAAACTTGATTTTAAATATCCTCGAAATCACATCAGGACGATCTTGGGGTTTTAGTCCAAGAGGCCTAAGTAACCTTTGTATTTTAGGCCAATTTGGATTGCAAGTGAATGTTACAAATAAATCAGGAAACCCTACCTTGCTACAAATAGCCATTCCATCATAGTACAATTGATCCATAAACCTCCTTCTACCAACATAAGTAGAAGGCAAAACCACTCTTTTTCCTGTTGAAGAACCATGTGTTTCACTTTGTTCACCCACTTCAGTAAGACTGTTGTATTTCGAAACCTTTAATTTAGGTTGATTTTCACGAATCCATTGAAGTCTTTCGGACTCTAACATTGTGTAACCATCAACTAAGAATTGTTGAAAAAGCCTTCTTGAAGACAATAAAGTTTTAGCCTCAAATGATCTGTTCTGAATGCGAAATGCTAGCCACTCTCTAATTGTAAGTCTATTTCTCTTGTTGTCTTGGAATATGTCTAAGTCTTGATGAGCTATGTTTGGTCTATAACCATCTTCTCCATAAGGTAAAATTAAAGGATATTGATACGCCAAGTAACTTGCATGAAGCTCGTTAATTCTTTGTAACTCTCCACCTTTAGTTTGCATGATGATATCCCTCATTTATGTTGTATCAAGATAACCAACTATCAAAGCTGTTGGTGTAAGCCCTAGAGGCCAATACTTTTTGGTACTTGTATCGGATTATTCGTTTAATAATAAAAGGCATTTCTTTATTATGTTTGTCTTTCAGAATAATAAAGTCCCTAGAATAGTTAGTTTGTTTAATGAAATGTTAAGTGTGACTTAATCATGAGATCCCATTAAACATAAAGACATTATTCTTAAAATATCCGTAGTCAAGCTTTATTGCAAAGTGGGATAACATTAAAAGCATTGAGACTATTATGAAGATAGACTGATGATCACATCTCATGGATCATGGATAAAGAGTTATCAAGTCTTGACATAGGTATAAATATTAGGAGTAATATTTATACCGGATTGACCCGCTATGAGAATACTACATAGTATGTTATGCAAAGTGTCATAAGTTATTCTCATGGTGATAATGGTGTATTACCACCCTTCGACCTGAAACCACTATGGACCCTAGATGTAGAGTCGGGTGCTTTATTGCTGATCAAACATTATCCGTAACTGGATAATCATAAAGACAGTTGATGGGCACTCCACGAAGCATGCTGAGGGACATGAGTGTCCTAGATGGAATTTGCCAATCCTGCATAACAGGAGAAATGTCTAAGGGCCCAATATTGAACTGGACAAGGATGACACAGTGTATGCCTTGTGTTCAATATAGACATAGGGGCAAAAGGGTAATTGTACAAACATATATTATCACGAAAAAGGTTTTGTCAGATCACATGACATTTTCGTGACTTGGGTAGCAGTGATGTGTTGCTAGATACCGCTTACTGTTTATTATGTTAAATATATAATTTAATATAATTACCAACGTTACGAAATCCTACAGGGTCACACACATAAGGACAGTTTGATGAGAGATAGAGAAATCAAAGGAACACCGTAAGGTACGGTGCACTTAAGTGAAAAATAGAAATTCGGATAATATAATAATAATTATTGTTATTTTATAATGGTTATAAAATAATAATAAAATAAATATATTTATTATAATAATAGTTATTATAATAATATATAATATTATTATGGATCATGTGAATTGGGTTTTTAGCCCGCAGCCCACAAGAGAGTCTATAAAAGGAACCCTTGTGATGAAGCTTTCACTTGATGCAATTTCGTTTTTGATTCTCTTTTCTCACTCAAATAATTTCGTTCGTAAGCAGCTAGCACTGTGACCGGAAGCTGTTCGTGTGGACTGAGTAGAGGCGTTGCACTTCATCAACGCTTGTGATCGCTGCATCAAAGATCTGAATCGCCATAAAGAGGTAACGATTCTATCACTGACCATGCTCATTCGTAAGGATCACTAAAGGAAAATTTTGTTTTCCGCTGCGTTTAGATCGCAATTTTCCTTCAAAAGCAGCAACCTCAAAAACAGTAGGTTGATTATATACTCTTCCATCTGTGGATCTATTAGAAATGAGTCTTAATTTTAGGTTTTGTGTATCTGAATTCAATAACCAATGTTTGGCCATCTGAAAACTTTTGGCATGAGGGTTATGCTCGTAGAGCATATCTGACAACTTTTGTACAATTATTGGGTCAATGTTTTTTGTGTTCCTGTAAATGTAAATGTTTTATCATGTTAAATATAATTTAGAGTAGTCTGAAAGGAATAAATTGCAACATATGAAGTGTATAATTTATGGTAAGAAAGTAATGTATGTGAAATAGTTATACCTCAAACCCTGCATTATGTTATGTACCTCATTTTCTGTGTCAAAAATATATAGTTGTGCAAATTTAGGAGGTTGACCTTCTGGTGGAAGCAAACTTCCAATACAATGACATGATTGACCTTGAATTCGCAAAGTGGGTGGTCCACCTCCATTGTTAAAACGGTTATCCAACTTTGCACCTGGTGATGTGAAGGCAAACATCATGTTGTAAATGCGAATTTGTTGTTGAAACTTTCTGCTAACTATATCTTCATCAAAAAGGAGATGTGCGAGTAAAGAAGGGGGTTGTTTGAGTAACGATAGTTCGACCTTTCCGTTGCCACAACACAATGAAAATTTAGGATTGGCTGAATGAGAACTTTTGTTCATTCTCTCTTGATACCACATCATGGCTTTACAATAACGACACTCAATTAATGGATCACCAATGTCATAATATTCTACAAAAAAATATAACGTGTTATATAAGAAAAGTAATGCCAATATATAAGTATGCATTTAGAATAAGAACAACCTTCAGACGATGTTTGAGAATTCCCATTAATAGAAAAAGGTGCATGGTATTCCTCAAAATCATAATTGGAGTCATCGTCAGATTGATGATCTAAAAGAAAGTGGAAAAAAGTCGTTAAAATTAGAAAGTTATGAAAAAGTTGAAGAGAATTGAAAACAGTAGCCATGACGATTGAATTTGTATTAAGAAAGATTAAAATGACATGAATAAAGTATTGTGTAGCTGTTGTAGGAAATTCAAAACCAGAACTAAGAAATACAGGTTTAACATTAATTTTATATAACTTACTTGCAAAAGGATCTATGTCAGAGTCACATTCCGTATCACCATTGAAATCTTCATTTGCACATGGTGTAAAAGTAGAACACAGTTGTTGGGATTTTGGTTTACAATTGTCGAGGTGCAAGGCAAAATGTTGGTCCATGTCAAGAAATCCGTTAGAGCCTTCTATATACCTTTAGCAATTTGGTTAAGACAGTATTACATATGCATTGGAGATGTTGTTGTAATTAACTGTTAAAATTTGAAAAGCTAGTAAATTTTCAATGTACCTATAATACGGTGAGGATCCAGGTTGCATGACAGATGTATCACGAACCGTATCATAATGGACTTCGGCAACAGGTCTTGTTAGATTCATTGCTAGATGTGGAACTCCCAAAGATTTTCTTGGACGACCTCGACGGGTTTTAACAGTCGTATCATTGCTGGAAGAGTCTCCAATATGAAACATAGACCATGAAAATTTGTTAAACATATATCAATAGAATGTAGGCCGACAGGATATCATCAAAGGACGCAAAAATAGGTATAAGTTGCTGTCAATATGAACCAGCCTCGTAATATCTCAGTTTTCAAAACAGAAATCTAAGTAAGATAACATAAATTGCTGATGGACATTGCGTTGTGACAATGTATGCATCATGTGTTTGAAACAGACCACACCGTAACTACCTACAGCTGCTAAAGTGAAGTTATAAGTTGCATACCTCAGTGTGATATTCAAGGTTGGTTCAATGAGATGTGAAGGTGTAGTTGGTTCTTGGAAATGATGAATTTGCAAAGCCAAATTGGGTTGAGATTGATGTTGTTGCATGTTGAATTTGCACGGTCTTCCACGAGGTCGTTTGGTTGATTGTGATGAGCTATGAGAAACGGAAAAAAAAAAAGTAACAACATGAGTGTTATAAGTCATCTTCACTGGCATGGTCAATTAATAGCAGCATAAAAACCAAAATCGAGTTTATAACTTCGTGCCGATTTGTTTCGGTTTGTCTGAAATATTTAGGCCATCCAACATTATTCCACGACCAATTGAGCATGCACGTGGAGTAGTTCTGATCATAATTAAAATATATTACAAACATTAGACATTGTCAAGCATAAAACAATAGCTGATAGTGCATCCAATATCAATTGGAGACCATGAAAATTTCTGCAAACCAGATTTTTCAAACATTTTAGTTTACAACTCACAAAGACAACTAACATAACATAACATAATATAACAGTATGGTCGACTCCGTGTTATGAGCATGTGTAAGTAATGTTTTCAAAATATAGTATATGGTAATTATATTCTCTAAATCCTTTAAAAGGTACACATTCATCCCCGCCGAACCCTAATTGTTGTGCCTCTGCAACATGTCATCCTTCTCACCTTTTAATGGTGGTGGCCGGATAACAGCCGATCATGGTCGAAACTGGAAAAGATCGTACTAAATCAATAATTTCACGATAACACACAATTCTACTTAAGATCAGGATGTAGGGGGTGAGTGAGATCGTAAAATCTTAAAATTTTAAAATCTAGTTCGGGATCTTGACAACCATGGGAACTACTTTATGGTTTGTGTGTTCTTAGTGTTAGTAAGCTTCTATTTTTTTGTATATACGATTCCTTAGTTCCACAATTTGAAGATGATAGCATCTCTATTTATTTGCCATGTGACCTTTTTCTTTTGATTCCCTTTGAGCTATGTGAATTACTTTCTTATGGGCAATTCCCTTTTATGCCATTTTATGGAAACTCTATACATATAACACAATAAGCATAAACAAAAATCCACCATTTTATGCCATGCATAATGTGGTGTTTTACAGCTTTATGGTAAATTGTCTGCCATTTAATTCTGAATGGCAGCAGGATGTGGTTTGTTCTGCAAACTACCACTCATAACAAATGACAGTTAAAATTGCAGTTATTTACAAAACAATAATCTTTTACACGTCTTTTTGTTGTGTATTATTTGATTTATGAAGCTTGTAATGTTTGTGTTCTAGTTCCAGGGTAGTAGAATTCAGATTACATGCCTCTCTTGACTAAATAATCTCAATACTAATATTTCATTTTTGTTAACTGAAGTGATAAAATGAAGATAACATGGTTTAGGCTTAAGGTATCAATGTAAGTCTAACCTTAACAATCTACAAATGAATTAGTTGAGTTGATTTGATTAAATCCATGATTCAAATTGCATCAATTAATGATTAGGCATACTCGACATTTAGCTATGTTGTATCCATCTTTATTCTTATTGTGTGTGTTCCATTCTTGTGGTTTCAACTTTGTCCATTGTGTGTTCATTCATTACATCAGTTAAATATTATATTTTTCACATTGGTACATTACATATAACTGCATATAGTAATAGGGATTCTATTATTTTTAATCATTGCAAACGCATGTTATCCACTTAATTGGTCAGCATCCGATCACAACTGTTTGATTTTTAAGAACATAATCT